GTGTGAGTCAGGAAAAGTGTTTTTTATTCAGGAGGCGATAGTCATCATACTGGGATTTGGACTCCACCATCCAGCCTCTCATCAACCGTACATACACAATCATCTCACACACGGACACACCTTTTTGGAGAGCGGTTCAGGGATGGAGGGATGTCATCACTGGGTTAAAGACATGCAAACAAGTCACGGCTGTCATGTGCAAAAACTACAGTTTCCTCACAGAACAGTTGTTAACCAGAGCCCTTTGGGTGTTTGGTTGTAGAGACATTGTTAGCAGTTGCTCTGGGCTTGGATGTGTCTGATTGCTGTTAACCTGATTCTTTAGTTGGAAACCTGAGAATAAACCAGAGTCCTATTGGCCAGTTACCTCTGGGCACGAACAGGCCAGGTCCTAATTCATGCAGATGACAGGAATGTGCTAACAAATGGTGTGTGTGTGTGTGTGTGTTGACCTAAAGGTGGATCTAATGCAACAGAGAGAGAAAAAGAGAGAAAAGAGAGTCTGTGGACACAGCCAGAGACTTCAACACAAAAATATAGTTCTAAAAGAAAAAAAAACAATCAGTAATTAACTAAGATTGTGTTATAGCATACTATGCTAAAGTGAGTAATTTTAGCCAAATTCTAACAATTTATAAAGCACATTTCAAACAACCGGGGTGACCAAAGCTCTGTACAGACATCATAGTTGCAGGAAATAAGGTAAAAACTAAAAAGCTAAAATACATAAACACAAAGCAATAACATAATAGTAAAAGTTTGAAAGGAATGTGCTAACAAATGGTGTGTGAGTGTGTTGACCTAAAGGTGGATCTAATGCAACAAAGAGAGAAAAAGAGAGAAAAGAGAGTCTGTGGACACAGCCAGAGACTTTAACACAAAATATAGTTCTAAAAGGAATAAGACAATCAGTTTTTTACATAGATCATGTGATAGCTTACTATGCTAAAGCGAGTCATTATAGCCAGATTCTAACATTGTGATGATGTGTTGTGTGCTTTTCCTGGCAGGGACTTCTGCGTATGGCCACTTTTTTCACTGTTGTTATCCGGATCAAACGTGAGTCAGAAAAATCCATGTTGGGTGGGAATCTACCCAGTTTACCCAGATTCCCTGCCCACTGGAAGGACAGTGTTTTGTGCACCAGTCTGCAGAAGCCTAAGGTGCTCAGAGAGTGTATCAGTCTGTGTGTGAGGTACCAGTAGCTCTGGGCTTTCTGCTGGTGTTGATAGGCCATTACAGAGCAGGGTGCTGAGCACTGGAATGAACTTCTTAGGTTTTTTTTGTTTCATCTCTTCCAGAACAATAAAACACAGAATTTTCTAACAAGAAAATACACATTGATCCACTGATTCCAACTCCTGAGTGAGTAAAGTAGCTCTTAGCTTTCCAAAAAGTCGCAAGAATCTGCTATATGGTGTGATCACCTAATTTGCACATTTAATCGTCAGTGAAGCTGTAGACTTAAACTTAGACTTAGACTTAGACTTGTACTTTATTGATCCCTTGGGAAGACTCCCTCAGGAAATTAAAGTTAGGGCAAAAAATGAGATGAGATGAGTATGAGATAACTACAAAATTGGCGAGACAAAAGAGACTGACACAAAGAGACTCAAATCCACAAAACCTTTAAACACTTCCTCTTTAACAAAAAAACAAAACTAAAAACCACTTTCTTTCCTTACAGATAACAATCCTGATATTAGGCTTAAATTGGTGAGGCCACAGTAATGAATATTTGAAACTGTTTACTTCTTCAGCCAAGCAACATGTCTGTCCTAGTCATCCTAAACTACACTAATTACAAAGTTGTTCAAGCAAATATGGGAATATGAATGTGTGAATATTGTTACAGCGTGAATAAGCCTGGACGTTGTGTGGACATCTGCTAGCTGGTTGGGTTCATGCTGACCGGTGGATCCTTCAGAGCATAAAGTGGAACTTAACTCAAAGGCACAAAGCAGCACTGTGTCTTCAAAATACAGACTACGAAGACGCAAGTTAATATGGCAGTCTTTCATACGCATTGTTTCATACGAACATTTAAGTTTTTTGCATGTTTCAGTAAATGACCACATCTATTGTTTGTTGGTCAGTACTTTTACTCGTTACTGTACTCTCACAGTACTACAGTGTGAGTAACGTGAGAAGGTATGGCAACATTATACAGTGGTCAAAGCTTCACTTTGAGCCTCATGTGGTCATTCCATCTGAGAGCCAATCAGATACACTTCATGGCTGTAACTGTTATGTTTGTCCTTTATCATCTGTGTTCCAAAACAACCCAAAAAGTCGTGTTTTTTTCTTCATTTTGTGGTTTAAACTTGCATTCGATTAACACATGGCGTCTGAATTCATCGAGGAGCAGCCAATCAGCGCGCTGTTTTTTGGGCGAGCCTCCGCCGCGCTCGGCCAATCAGAGGCGCGGAATGGGACCTGTGCCTCCGAGTTGTGCAGGAGGGGAAGTGGTCACGTGACGCTGGGAACAGGAATGCCAACATGGACCCGTGGCAAGGACGGGATGCGAGTGAGCGGCGGCAATAACACGACGGAGGCCCGGAGACGAGGCCGAGACGCCAGCGAGAGCCTTGGACGGCGGAGGGATACCTCCCGCGCGAGCTCACGGTAGGCCGACACGAGTCCCCGGCTCTCTGATCTGCCGCTCAGCGCGAGACCACCAGTTTATCCTCTTTCTTTTTTTTTTGACCCAAGCGAACTTGAAACTCGGGAATTCCGACACAGGCACAGTTGCTGGACTTCGGGTCTGACGACGGTCATTTTTCTGCTGTGTCTTGAAGCTTTTTGTCGGTGTTTTGGCGCTTCTTTCGGCCGCAGGAGGACTTATTCCTGCTCTCTGTTTTCCCGGGCACGTCATAGCGGGCCGTGTTGGTGTTTTTAGCAGCGCCGCGCCGCGTTCACTGGCCGTGGGAAGTCCGAGGCCCCGCGGCAACATGTGCCTGCTGCCGGGGGGGCGGGAGCTGCCTCCCCCGGCCCGGGTCGTCCTGACCCCCCCTCCCAGGAACGGGTCGTTGATGCGCTGTTCTGGGGAGAAGGGGGCAGAGGGGGGGCCCTCACCCCCCCCCTCCACTAATTCATGTATCTGAACCCGTCGTTATTTTTCCAAATGATGCATTTAAAAACATATTTTAAATAGCAAGAGTGGCTCATATATGCAAAAACGAATGAGTAGTAGTAGCATTTAGAAAATGATGGGCAAGTTGAATGCTATTGGTGTATGGGGGTATGTTTTTCTGCTTTTGTTTTTGTTTTTTTGGGCGGGGGGG